CGAAAATGGTTTTTAGTGTATTTAATTTATATCATCGTTTAAACCTATTAAATGTGGATTAACTTACATTGAAGTTTTATTGAATTAATGGTTTATTCCTTTGTGTTGTTTGTGTATGGCAAATGTTAATCCCATTGCAGGTAGGTGGACGGAGAAAGATGATTTTTGAGTAGGGGATTAGAGACCTTTGTTTTTGATGTCTCTTTATCCATTCTTTTGTAACTTTGATTGATTGTAATTGAAGTAACAAATTGTACCATGAATACTATTTTGTACATGATATTGATCAGGGAGACTAGTAACTCGGGATATATGTAGCTATGGGTGTTTTGGAAACCCATAGCTAATTGTACGCGGTGGTTACTAGGTTATATTAATGAATTATGTTTTTTCTGCTATCGACTGTTGTATGTTTCTTTTGGTTCATAGATCAGGTGTGAGGGGGAAGCGAGACATTTAAAATAAATTTAGTCACTCGGTAATTATGATTGAATGTTAAAAGTATGGAATTGGATTAAATAAGGAAAACAATTTCAAGGGTAGAATTTCGGGTCGTTACAAATACATCCTCATGTTTAATAAAGACCCTGACGTGGACCACAAACTCCCAATAGAGTTTCTATCCGTTAATATGCTTCGATTCTTGAGGGAAATCGGAGATGATGACTCTAATGAAATACTCTATGACCACAAGGATCTTCTCCCTCACCTAAGGTTTCGTAAGCTCCATGGATCCGCAAAGAGCTCCATCTTCCTCCATCTCCTTCAACCTCCATTGTTGCTTTTTCATCTCCAAATCTCTCCAATGTTCCATTAAGAAGCAAGAGGAAGAGGTTTTGGTGTGTTTTTGAGTTTTAGGGAAGGAAACAATCGAAATCCATGAGGAGTCGCCATTGGGAGTGAAAGGGGAGAAAAGAAAATGAAGATTAGAGTTTGTGAAACCCTTTCTTTTCTTTTATAATTGGGCACTCTCGCCCGGGCGAGAATATCTCGCTTGGGCGAGAAGCCCACGATATTTTAATATCTCGCTTGGACCCATTCCTCGCTTTGGCGAGACTCCCAGAATTTCCAATTTCAAAACACTGATCCTCTCGCTTGGGCGAGATCCTCTCGCCCAAGCGAGAATCTGGCAGTATGCCCCATTCTTCAGGACTGTTACCTAATTTCAAGGAGGATAAATTTGGGGTGTTACACCACCCGCTGAATTTAAGGAACCTAAAGGAGCATGAGTCATATATTATGCGGAACACCATTCTTGCCAAGGCTGTATGTCTTTCTTCAGTCTACTCAAGTCAAAACCATTGGGACCCCTTAAGGGTTCTAACCAGGGAGCATGCAGATCACAAAAACGCATAGTTTCTTCCCCAAAAATAACTTCTCCAGTCGGAGAACACATTAGATATTTACCTAAATCGGTAGGTCCTTGAGTAGATACGACGTTAGCCCCAAGACGTTGGCCTCTAACTAGAAAATTAAATGTTTTAGCTTGAGAAGCTTCTGGTCCAGTGGCCCCATAAAACTCACTAGGATAAGTGATATTGTTAAACTAGTCAAAGCAACAAGCAATAAAACCAAAAACAGATAGAGCAGATAGACTATAAGATAAATAAGCTTCTCTAGACCACGCCAAGCCCATGCAAAAGATTTGGTTAAGATATGTCAGATTCTACCGAATATGCAAATGGAACCGAGCCTTATATGTCCTCCAATTATATCTTCCAAATAGTCCACACTAACAATCTACCTTTCTCCTCCAAAAGGTGATTTTAGTAAATAACCAAATATAATACTTGGACTAACGGTCAAATTGGTAACTATTCTTACATCTCCCCCCTAGAGCCCAGGTATCATATATACCCCCAAAATAAAGAGGCTTGAATACTAGCAGAAAAGTGCCTATACCAAACAAGATTAAGTGAATACCCAAAATAGTAGTCATTTTATTTCTATCTTTCCATACGTAACCAAAGAATGGAAAAGATTCTTCAAGAGTCTCAAGTCCCAGAAGTGCATGAAAAATACCACCAAATCCCAAAATTGTATAGGAAATTAAGTGAAGTATGCCAGACACGAAGTATGGAAATGTGCCTATAACTTAACCCCTAGGACCTAACCCCCAACCTAGAGTAGCTAGATGGGGAAGTAAAATCTAACCATGTTCATACATGGGCTTTTCGGGTACGAAATGAGCCACTTCAAATAAGTTCATTGCTTTTTCCCATAATACTATTAATCTGGCATGGGCCACATAAGCCGCCAACAGTTTACCAGACAAATTGATAAGTCGGGCATTCCTGACCCACCAAGTGAAATGAATAGTTTCTTCTTGGTCATGACACTTTAAAGCTAAAGTTCCATTAAAGAGCGTTTCCACGTGGTAGAACCTCCTAAGGGAATATAGGTTTTCATGAGGCTAATCTTGAGCCGCCATCCATGCATGAATACCTTCGTTTAAGAGAATATTTTTGGTGTAGAAAGTCTAAAGTTTAGGATCTTCCGCTGCGCGGATTTCTTGAGAAACAAAGTCATAAGCATGTAGGTTCAGGGCTAGACCGACTACTCCAAGAGCACTCATCCATAGATCGGTTACTGGTACAAATAACATAAATAAATGTAACCAACGTTTATTGGAAAAAGCAACCCCAAAGATTTGGGACCAAAAGTGGTTAGCGGGGACCATTGAATAAGTTTCTTCAGCTTGGATTGGGTTAAAAGCACGAAATGCCTTTGCGCCATCACCATCTTCAAATAAATTATTTTCCACACTAGCACCATGAATAGGGAAGCACCCAATACACCAGCAACTACCATCATATGAAATGGGTTCAATGTCCAATTATGATACCCTTGAAAAAAGAGGATGAATCAAAATATAGTTGCTACGCCAAAAATAGGCACAAAGAACCAACCAGATTGACCCAATGGATAAATCAGGAATACGGAAACAAAAACAACAATTGGACCTGAGAAAAGCAATTACATTATAAGGCCTCAATTGAACATATCGAGCAAGTTCAAATTGATGTAACAAGAAACCTATTAATCCAAAAGCGTCGTGAAGAGCAACAAAAGTCCACAGACCACCTAATTGACACGAAAGGGTAAAATCTCCTTGTTCTTTCGGACCCCATAGTAACAACAAAGAGTGTGGTAAACTATTAGCAGGAGTAGAAATTGCAGCGGTTAAGAAATTGCAGCACTCCAAATAGGAAATTGCTAATCCATGAGTATACTATGAAGTTACAAAGGTTGTACCTGTGAACCAACCCCCTAGGCCAAATAGGCGCAAGGAAAGAGCAATAGACCGGACCAACTCAGAAAAACGAAACGGTCCTCCGTAACCAGTCATCCATAATATCAAATAAATCATTTTCATTTTTAGTAAATTTACCAAGCGCTATAGTCATAATTATCCTCCTATTCGACTATTTCATTTTTTTATATCAAGGAAAGAAATATACTAGCAATATTTTTTCTATTTTTTTATCTATCTAAAAAATTACTATTATATTGAATATATTTAAGAATAATAAATTGTAAGTCAAAAATTCTCTTTCTCACGGCCATTAGTTGCCCCAAAATCTCTTTCACCCTCCTAGGTGATCCTTTCTCGCTCAGGCGAGAATCTCTCACTCAAGCGTGACTTCCAGGACTGATACTATAATTTTAAAGACTCAAATTTAGGGTGTTACGGGGTGAATATGGATATTATGTGATGAATAAATATGCACACTATAGAACACATATAATATGGGATGTATGTGTACTATAGGGTGAATATGGATAATATGTGACGAATAAATATGCACATTATAGAACACATATAATATGGGATATATGTATACTATAGGGTGAATATGGATAATATGTGTTGATTAGTATATGTTTATTATGATTGATGTTAGATGTGTGTGGTTTTAATACTTTAATGTTATTACTCCATGTAAATCCACGCTACGGTCACCGTAGTTGGTTCTTACTCCATCTGTCTTTCTTTGCATGTGTTGTATATTTGAGTTCAGGTTGTGGAGGTAGCGCATTGGACGCTTGCGGAGAAGAGTGCATGGTATAGTAGGGTTTTATGTAATTGATACGTTATATGATAAAGGCTTGTAATATGAAGAACATATTAAAGTGAATTTATGTATAAGTAATCTTGCCCCTAACTATATAATGAAGTTGCTTTAATATTTGTATTTAAAAGTGTACTTTGTAAAAGGGTAATTGTTTAGATTATGTATTTGAAAGGAAGTGCAATGACATGCTTTTGAAAAGAAATGTATTTGGAATATTTCCGCCTTGTAATTTATAAATGTATTCACTGAAGTTTCCAAAACGTTCAGGTAATGTCTTTTAAAAGTAGTCACTTCACTTTCATGAATAAGGTTTTAAAAAAAATTCGGGTTATGAAAATCGGGTCCTTAAAATATGGTATCAGAGCATATGACAACTCTACGGCCTAGGGTATGACCTTACATGCTTCGTTGTGAAATTTGTGTGAGTAACTACTTGACTTATGTGAAGTGTTGTTGACTGTGTGGTAACTGCTAATGTGAAAGATTCTTGTTGGATTCCTTGATGTGATTTTATTGAAGAATTTCATGTTGTAAAATTCTTGTTGAATTCACTGTTATGAGCTCATTATTGAAATTCTTGTTGTTTAAACCCTTGTTAGGGATTTTTATTGAAAACTCTTGATGAAAATTTCTTGTTGTGAACATCTCATTGGAATAGTTTATGGAGAGTTTGTAATTGTGATTTCCTGTTGGATTTCTTGGTGTGAGATTAATTTGTTGAGAGTTCCTAGTGATGGACCTCTTGTTTGAATTTTGGTCAACTCTGGATGTGAATTTTCTTTTATCACTAAAATTAAGATAATTGAAAATGAATGATTAAATTGTTTTTCTTGGACGTTGGCTTAACTGTTTCTACGATTCTAATAACACAAGATTAAAGTAATGTAAGGATAAGTTGTTATTTGTGCATTCGATGAAAGGATTCCTTTCCTAACCCAACGCGAAAGTAAATGTCGTCAACTCCGTTTGTTAGAACAGCTTCCATTGAGTCTCTGCACCTATCCTTTTTATTTTCGCTTTCTGAACTTTTCTTTGTTTTTTCGAAAAAACGGGATTTGGCTCAGGATTGCCCATTGTCAATTCCAGGGTTTCTCTGAATTTGAAAGTTATCACTTGGTAAGTTTCCATACCAAGGCTCAATCCAATTAAGTCCGTAGCGTCTACCAATTTCGCCATATCCCCCCTCTTTTTAGATTGTGATCTCATTCTCACTAGGATTTTTTTCAGTTAAATTATGAGAATTATTCCAGAACTGTTGAATGGATTCGATACTGATTCCTATATTGAAAGATGTTTCCTCCGATTTTATTTATTCTCGTTCATCGATATTGGATATTCATATTTGGTAGAATCTAACTAAAATGATTATGGAAAATGTGTGTATTTTCGGGTTATGCGAGGATGGAGTTGTGAATTATGCATTTAGTATAAACATAATGGGTGTGTTTATACTAAAGTGGGCGTAGATTTACGGGAAAACTATTTATGGTGAAACCAATGAAAAGAAAATATATTTTTAGCCGACCATGAATGGTTAGCGACTCTGGCTTTAGTATATAAGCAAGACTCTGGCTTGAGTATATAAGCAAGACTCTAGCTTGAGTATATAAGCAAAAACTCTGGCTTGAGTATATAAGCCAAACTCTGGCTTGAGTATATAAGCGAAACTCTGGCTTGAGTATATAAGCGAAACCCTGGCTTGGGTATATAAGCGAAACTCCGGGTCGAGTATATGTAGCACGTTTTCAAAAGAGAAAGGGAACCTGTTTTAGCAAACCTTAAGTGGTGTAGCAACTTTGGCTCAAGTTATGTAGCGATACTTTGGCTCAAGTTATGTAGCGATACTTTGGCTCAAGTTATGTAGCGATACTTTGGCTCAAGTTATGTAGCGATACTTTGGCTCAAGTTATGTAGCGATACTTTGTCTCAAGTTATGTAGCGATACTTTGGCTCAATTTATGTAGCGGTACTTTTGCTCAAGTTATGTAGCGATGCTTTGGCGCAAGCAATGTAGCAAACTTTGGCTCAAGTTAGGCAGCAAATAAAATAAATTTCAAAATGGTGTACTAACCTTGTTCAATGTGGATAGTTGTCGAGTTGCCTACCCAGAGTGGTAGTGGATCATTGTTGAGTTGCCTACCCGGAGTGGTAGTGGATCATTGTTGAGTTGCCTACCCGGAGTGGTAGTGGATCATTGTTGAGTTGCCTACCCGAAGTGATAGTGGATCATTGTTAAGTTGCCTACCCGGAGTGGTAGAGGATCATTGTTGAGTTGCCTACCCGGAGTGGTAGTGGAGCATTGTTGAATTGCCTACCCGGAGTGGTAGTGGACCATTGTTGAATTGCCTACCTGGGGTGGTAGTGGACCATTACTGAATTGCCTACCCGGAGTGGTAGTGGACCATTGTTGAAATTGCTTACCCGGAGTGGTAGTGGATAATCGTTATATTGCCAACTCGAAGGGGGTAGTGGATTATCTTTTGTACATGAAACTTTTGGTCTATGATGATTGATCTTTTGTAGTTGAATATTTGCACTACTTCGATATTGTGCTTACAAAACTTGTTTCTATTTCATGTGCATCAGTAGTTGTTATGCATAATTGCAATGTTATGGTATAAGCCTGTTTCTGTAAGTGTATTGTGGGGACTCTCATGTCTTGGATGAAATGTAACTCCAGAAATAAGTAGCTTTTGAAAATTTTGATTTGGGCATTCGATGTAGAATAAGAAAAAGGGTTTTAAGTGATTTTGAAACGATTATGAAAAATCTTGTCTCCACAAGATGATTTCCATGAAACTTACATCTAATCTATTTTCGAAAGTCATTTTTGAATGAAGTATACTATTCGGCTAAGCGTTGATTAAGTTTCATGTTGAAATCCGAATTTTTAACAACCTCATATTGGATGAATGTGACGTGTTAAAAAAATCTTGTGAGTTAATTATGACCATATGTTTCTGGATATGATGTAGACTTGAGCACGAAATGCATGTTCATCATTGTGTTTTGGGTATCCACATAAAACTCATGTTTTTGGATTGGATATTCGTAAATAGAAAAAATCAATGGTAACAATGTATGTGATTTGAATGGGTCTACGACCATATGTGCTTAGTTGGGACTATGAACTAGCAAATCATTTCCTAACGCATTCGTTTGTGGTAGAAAATGTTAAATTGAATTGGGTAAAGGGTTGGTGATTTTATTTCGTATGTGAAAGACTCCAAAAGCCTTGTTTGTCTAAATGCTACTTGAATGAATATCATGTTCTGTGTTGTAGCGAGTGTGAATGGAAATGCTAGTGAAGATTTTTGAGTAAATCGTGGTTTTTGGCACGTCTGAAATGAAATGATTTTGTTTCCATCGAGTGGATGTCGATCTAGCTATTGCATTTTTTGGGTGCGAGCTAGTACATCTTGGTAAACGATGAGTATGGAGTCTCACTTCGAACTGGGTTCGAGAGTGTTGTGGCGAATCTGACCGTATAGTTTAATCGTTTTGAACGATTGTTGTGGTAATAGATCAGGGAGGTCTATTGTGATGGAGGAAATACTCGAGAATCTTTAGTTTGGTTGTAAAAAATTTCTCTTAGTTGTCCTAATGTTTAGCTTGGTATTTGGACTCTAGAAGAGTAGCTCATGATTGGGACTCTGTGGTGTCACTATTGCATGATATATACCCTTGCTTGTCGTCTAAGAGATCTTAATGGTTTAGACGGTTGATTCTAAGTGTGGTCGAGTGTATCTTATGCTAGACGTGTAGGTGATGATAGTACCTTCCCGAGAGTAACCTAATAAAATTTCGGGAACGAAATTTCTTTAAGGGGGAAAAATTGTAACACCCCAAATTTATCCTCCTTGAAAATTAGGTAACAGTCCTGAAGAATGGGTCATACTGCCAGATTCTCGCTTGAGCGAGAGGATCTCGCCCAAGCGAGAGGATCAGTGTTTTGAATTTGGAAATTTTGGGAGTCTCGCCCAAGCGAGGAATGGGTCGCTTGAGCGAGAGAAAGCATGGGCAGGTTGTGAGATTCTCGCTTGAGCGAGAGATTCTCGCTTGAGCGAGAGAATCTCGCCCAGGCGAGAGAGCCCGTGTCTGGAAAATTAAAATATCGTGGGTTTCTCGCCCAAACGAGATATTCTCGCCCTGGCGAGAGTGCCCAACTATAAAAGAAAAGAAGGGGTTTCACAAACCCTAATCTTCATTTTCTTTTCTCCCCTTTCACTCCCAACGGCGGCTCCCCATAGATTCTGACTTATTCCTCCTCTAAACCACAAAAACACATCAAAACCTCTTCCTCTTGCTTCTTAATGGAACATTGGAGAGCTTTGGAGATGAAAAAGCAACAATGGAGGTTGAAGGAGATGGAGGAAGATGGAGCTATTTGCGGATCCATGGAGCTTACGCAACCTAAGGTGAGGGAGAAGACCATTGTGGTCTTAGAGTATTTCATTAGAGTCATCATCTCCGATTTCCCCCAAGAATCGGAGCACGTTAACGGATAGAAACTCTCTTCGGTGTTTGTGGTCCATGTGAGAGTCTTTATTTTATATGAGGATGTATTAGCCATAAAAGTGGAGATATATGTGCGGGAAAACTATTTATTTAAGTAAAACGCAATATGCTCATTTATGGTAATACACCGTCATGAAAGATGGTTCTAACGTTAATGTGTCATATGATGAAGAATATGTTGTGTGTGGTTTGTTTATGATAATGGTTTTTTATGGATGGTTGATTTGTTATAAACATATATGGGTGTGTTTGTAACAATGAATGTGTGATGAGTTGTTGATTTGTAAAGGTGGAGATGAGTATGTTTATTGAAGTGAATATGTTGTGAATCGCTTTATTGTTATAAATATGTATGGGTATGTTGTGATAATGAAGGTGTTGTGTGTTATTCCATGGTGTTGGAACGATGTGATGCCTTGTGTTTATTGGTGTATGACATTGAGTTGATATTTTGTGCTATGACGAACATGTGATAGAGAACTACTAGATCTGCCCGATGTGGTATGGGGAATTACTAGACCTGCCGGATGTGGTATGGAGAAATAACTAGACCTGCCCGATTTGGTATGAAGAAATAACTAGACCTGCCCGATGTGGTATGGGAAATGACTAGACCTGCCCGATGTGGTATGGAGAAATAACTAGAACTGCCCGATGTGGTATGGAGAAATAACTAGAACTGCCCGATGTGGTATGGAGAATTAACTAGACCTGCCCAATGTGGTATGGGGATTACTCGACCTACCCGATGTGGTATGGGGAATTACTCGACCTGCTCGATGTGGTATGGGGATTACTCGACCTGCCTGATGTGGTATGGGGATTACTCGACCTGCCCGATGTTGTATGGGGAATTACTCGACCTATCCGATGTGGTATGGGGATTACTCGACCTACCCGATGTGGGGTGAGGATTATTTGTACGATGCAGAATTGTTGAAAGAGATCAAGGGTAAATTACGACGGAATGTGAATGATGTGAAAAGTATATACTCGGGATGAAAATCATATACATGCCATAGGATATATATTATGGGATATATATCTTATAGGATGAATATGAATGATGAGAAATGAGTATGTTTAGATGAATAAAATATGCACACTATAGAACACATATAGTATGGGATGTATGTGTACTATAGGGTGTGTAAGGACCCAAATTCTACCATTGAAAATTTTTCATTTATTTTAATCCTTTCTTACATACAGCCATCACCTTACTTAAAAACTCTCAAGAATCACTCTTTACCCTATTATATCATTATACAATTTATGTTGCGGAAAAACATAATTCATTCAATAAGAAATTACCACATACAACCAGTTATGGATTTTCCAAAGTTATAACGTCCATAACTACATATCTCCGTAATTGCCCTAATCAAATTTACAGTCATCCCATAATGTTATTAAATTAACTACAACGTCAAGTAGCAATAAAGACAATCAAGTTAATAAACACAAAAGCTTCCTAAGTGAGCTTCCCTCTCAAAATCCTTCATTTACCTACAATGGGATTATAATAAACAACACACAAAACAAAAGGGAGTAAGTCATTAGTTCAAAAACTAACATCACATGATAATCCACATTTCAAATACGATTAATCTTTAATATAATTCGTAAACACACATGC